TGTCCATCGCTCCGAATAGACTGGTGCTCGGGGATCGTTGTATGGGAACAGTAATAAAGCTATTCGCATCGGATTCCATTGGTAGTGAATCCCTTTTATATCTTTCAAGATAAGCGCCCTCTAACAGCTTTTTCAACTATCGTCTTTATTATGGGTTTTCCTGAGGATCAGACGTGTTCAGCAGCAATCATGGAATCGATCATCATCCCAGTTGACACTGCCAAAGTGATAAATGAAAAAAAATTACGCACTCATCATGGTAGAGAGGCCTCACTCACTGCTCTATTCGAAAAGTACGTTCTGATCACTGACGACCAAAAATAAATGAGGACACTTCACGATGATCAGTTCACCCGTCGCAAGCTTTTCAGCCTGAGTATCCCGTTGATTGGGATCACTAAGTTGATATCGCAGCCTCGAAGCCTCGACCCACACCCTAACCACAAAGCACGAGAGATAATGTTGTCTGGACAGCTGAGCCTCCTAGTAAAGAATCTCTCTAAAATGTAGACTTGCCTCTCCCCAGCCCATTTCTTCTCCAAGGAGGGTTGAGCCCTCGTCCCCGCTCCCCCGTTTAGACCTTTCACACTCGCGTTAACTGAACGTCATCAAGATTCCTCTTAACCATCTCGCCTTCACCACATCTGGAGTCACTATAACCTCGGCGTCCGTCAATGGGATTAGGGAAGACTATCATCATTTCCTACGCAGGGAGGAAGGTACAAACAAGAGACTTTGGAGTTGTCGGTCATGGATGAGACGATGGTCCAGCATCGAATATCGAAGCATATAGACGCTGATAGCAATCTTTGGGGCAAAAGCCGTAGCAGACGCAATAGCGTGAGATAAAGGCGGTAACTCGCCGACGATCACGGTCTAAGTTTCCGTCATCCGATACATCCGACTTCCCCGGGTTCGACTTCCCCCTCAGTCCAGCTCGTCCTGCTCACCACCGGAATCCACACCTCCCGCATTCTCCCCCGTACTCGGCCCTCATCATTCAAAGGAGCAGATAATTCATTCCCCTTGAGACTCATCTGAATCAGATTCGCTCTGTATCAGTTCTGAGGAGGGGCTTCGAGCAGCGAAGGTGGAAAACTTCTGGATGACTAGAGTCATTCAAACCACTCGACGAGGCTCCTTATATCATACAATACACATGTGCACCAACCTCAACACCAGGCGGTGCATCATGAGGAGGGCGGAATCGAGAGTTTGGGCTTAGGATAGGGGAGTGGAGGGGGAGATAATGTTGGGGGGGGGAAGAGTTTGCTGCCCCGAAGAGGTCTTGAGGAACGCTGGCCACAGCTCTTCGGGGTTATAGTTCCGTTCTGGCAAAATCACAACAGCCGACGAAAGACATTTTGGGATTTCTACGACGGTGAGGCAAGTCCAGGGCATGGAGGGCAAAAGAGTTAGTTGTACAGTGGCGGCGTTTTTCCTTCCTTTGGGTGATATGCATAGCCGTAGACGACAGTGCAAAATTAAGGACGATGCGATGCTTTTGTTTTTCCCACATGATTCCGTAATTATATTCTGTGCGACACTGCCCGCAGCCTGCTGGGAAAAATAAGGTTTGACACGGACTTTGGACGTGCAAAGGAGGCGGTGCTCATCAACTATTCAAGAGCCCAGCTATATGAGGTCTTTGACGAGACGGTGTATCTAGCATTCGTTCCTGACGTTCGACCCCGCCAACTGCGAGGTTCAAGTATGCGTGTCGGTCAACGAAAAAAAAGTTGATAACTGGTAGCCCGATGCCAAAGTCATACATGAATCCGTACATGAAGTATATGTCGATCGCTGTTGCATTCCCTAAAAAAATGCGGTATTCGATAACGTTCAAAACATCCTGCTGCAACAAAAGACAAGAGTACGGTCCAGCTCACGAACCATAGAAACGAGAAACAGAAGACAACTCACAGGAGAAAAAGCATCCTACAACGCAACCAACGTTCAGAAATCCCTCTTCTTAACCTTCTTAACCTTCCCCTCCTCCTCCTCGTCTTCCTTATAATTCCCTTCATCATTCCGCATCTCATCTACTCCTTCCTCAGGTAGCCCTCGTCTTCCTTCGCCATTCATGGTACCATAAGCACCATAAGCGCCACCGGGAGCTGAACCACCGTGCGTACCATAAACGCCCTCATTCGCACTCACACCCGCACCCGCACCCCCATTCTCCCTCAACCTCCAAAACGGATTATTAGGATAATTTCTCTGCGGTGGGCTCTGACTCTGAGACCCACTTTGCTGTCCATGACCCACGTCAGACGGTGCAGAGTGAGATTGACCAGGAGCCTGAGGGTGACGACCCAATTGAGAGTTTAGGTTCGAGTTCGAGTTTGGATTCGGGAAAGGAAAAGGATACGTCGGGTGTGGAGAGTGGTGTTGGTGGTACTGTTGATTGTACGGGTAGTGTTCTGGAGATAAACCCCGAGATGGTCCTAGGGAAGACCAGCTGTTGTTCGGGTTCGGGTTCGAGTCGTACCTTGGGTTTGGGTTTGGATTCGACCACCCTTGCCCATCGTGACTGTTAGAATAATGCTGCATCTGAGGTGGAGATCGACTGCGTGCATATCGATGAGTACTCATCGGATTCTGATCCTGGGGGTAGTCCTGTCCAAACCTGTGGGTCGGTGCCTGCGCATATTGATAAGAAGCTGCAGGTGGAGGTGCTGAGCTTGGTGGGGAGGGATACGGTGCTGGGCTGGTCATGTTCGGATGGAGATTGGGAGTTGAGTAGTTTGAATGCATGTAGGGTTGCGGATAATCCTGGGTATGCTGATTCTGATTCCATTGGGGATTTTCATCTTCTTCAAAACCTGATAAGGGTCGTTGTTGATAAGGTAACAGGTGGGGTGATACGTAGTCTGGGATGGGTATCGATGATGGATTGTAACCTATATTCTGATGAAATCCACGATTTTTCTTTTTTCGTTTTCCTGACAGATGGTGACATTGGGTTGAGGACAAGGACAGGTTTTTATCGGACCAATCATCAGATTATCTCACCTGGGGTGGTTATTGTAGTCCCTACAATCAGAAGTCAGATAGCGAGCAACGACGGGGAAGAATATCGACAACGCACGACCGCCATTAAAAGTCATACAATCATCTCCAAAATTCCTCGTACTATAACTGTTGTTGGAATCGCGATTGTTAGTTGTCGTGGTGTTGTAGGTAGTATTCTGGTTGCCTTCAATATGGTTAAGCACACCACCTGATATTGTAACATCACTACAACCGATGAACGACATTTACGAGGTGAAGAAGAAAGGTGTTTGGGACACAAGTGACAGTGGGCTTTAAGAAAGGCTGTTGAGCGCTTTTTCTTCCTTGGGTTGGCATGCATTGCCGTCGGTGACGGGTGTGATATGTACACTATACAATGCAATGCTTTCCCACACGATGCTGTATTCAAAGCGCGCGACACTGCCCGTTGGAATACAAGGTTTGACGCCGACGTTGAGCTGTGTCAGAGCTAGAACTCCAACGTGTAAGGAGGCAGTACTCACCAAACTCCGAAATCCAGCTCATTAAGATTCTGACAGTGTAGTCCTCCATCCGATGCATAATCCGTCAACTGCGAGGGTTTCAGTACTTCAGTACGTGGCCATTTAGACTGTTGGAACGGGAATGCAGACCATTAATTATAAAGTATCTCTCGATCTTACAAGTGTAACCTCCAATAATAAATCCCATTTGCGAGAGCCAAAGACTGGGAGGCGAATGAACGAAAAATAAATAAGCACTAGAGAGAAAAAATCATACCTGAAGTAGTATTCAACCCTGATAGCCCAGAATCAAATTCACCGACACGACATTTTGGAAGAGCGCAAAGCCGACATGAAAGGGGCCTGAGATATAGAAATTTGCAATGAGAAACAAGATGGTGAGTGTACGAATGAGAGAGGCTCGCGTCGTGGGAATCCTGCGAGCTCGGCACTGACTACTCTAGGTTTTCATGGTCGCTGTCACTCTCACCCCCAACCAGGTCTCGGGAACGACCAGCACCTTTTTTGCGCCTCGAGTTTTTATCCACTGATAGTGTTGATGACAGTCGGCTCGCTATCTACACGATTAATGATTAGAGGTGGAAGTGGCGTTCAACGTTTAACGTTTCAACTATCACCGAACCCCGGCCGGTTTTTTCTCTCTGTTCTCTCTTGCTCTAAACTACCAAAAATCTACAGCTTCGAGCTTAGCAAATAATGTGTTGCTTGTTACGAGGTTTCATTCCCTTACCGTCACTGGTTGGCAGGTTAAAGATTCAAGAAAACGGGAGAAAGGGAGTGAAAAACTTGTAAAAGGATCGTAAAATCCCACTCGCCGCTACGGCCGACCCCTGCCAGGGGTTACTCTTGTTGAAATATCTAGCAAACGAGCGCCTCGAACTGCATTGGTGAAGCTCGTCGTGATAGCGAGAGATCGTAGAGGAACTCGGAGGCGGTCATCGTTTTCAAGGATATCCCAACCTTTGAAGGCTTCAAGTTGAGATTAGTACACCCCAATCTATAATATCAATTGGCATGCATCTCCAACTCTTGAACCACCAGAAGAACCAAGTTCTCCTCATGGATACACGATTGATCACCAGTTTTCGCAGCGAACGTCGAACTTTTGAACGGTCGCGAGAAACTTGAATCCCACTGTAATCTCACTGTACTACGTCCGTGATGCACTCTGGCGCGTTTCTCTTCAACCTTCAAGCTCCCCAACAAAACGGAATCCAGGTTGACCGTGCTCGGGTTATCACGCAGCTTCCTGCAAACTTCCACTTTCAAAGAAAACTAAAATGGGTTGGTCAGTACTGGAAAACATTGATCGACAAACCCTTAAGTACTAGTTTACCGAGCTCCCACTGTCGTGATTTACTCTCTCTCCCCCGATTCTCGTGCTAAACACCGTTTGGAATCATCAGAAGGGAAGGTGATCGGTTTTTCAACGGAATCGCGTCAGAACCTTGGGAACAGTAGTATATATTTTTACCATTGTCTGCCCGCCTAGCTCAATCGGATAGAGCGTCAGACTTTTATGACCTGGAGCTTGTACTATCAATCTGAAGGCTGCGAGTTCGACCCTCGCGGTGGGCTATTTGAACTGATCAATTATATTTTTTTCTTCTTCTTGGAAGTGAGTGAAAAGGTGAGTAGCGGTCCGGTATGTACTGTTCTTATACAGCTCATACCCAGACCCCAAATGCTCTCGACATGCCCACCATATGGATCTGTCAAGGGGACCTCAAAAAAAAAACAAATTCAGGCCTTGTTTGAAGCTATGATAGCAAGTACGCCTAGAACCCAACTACAACCGTTCCAAGACCAAGGCAGACACCAGTACCACATGTTCCAGCACACCCTCTCTACGTCTATCGGGCGTAACTTACAACGTCGTCGTTGCTGACGAGATGATGGACGAGTCCGGCAAATGCCAGCTACTACCTGTGGACGCGGTTAGACGCGATGACCCTTTTCCCGTATCCACCACCGCATGGTTGCTCTTGGTCCAGAAATTCTCCTCCTCTCGCCGCCCTTTCACATCGATATCCCTAGAGTATGGCCAGGATCGAGTTCATCAGTCCACTCCATCACGATTTCCGCTCTGGAGGTATCTGAAGCTACCGTCTCGTTACTTGCGAGAGACGGAAGTAGGAATTTTTCGTACTTCCACGATTCTTCGGATGAAGTAGCTGATCTCTCAGATCAGGCGCTTTATCGTAGGTTGCCTGTGCTTCATGGTCATTTCAGTTGACTGCGAAGGAGGAAGGCGAGGTTTTTTGGGGCTATAAGTGGATCGAATTCTCTAGGAGGAAGCTACGCGTAGGATTTCTCGTGAAAGTGAAGGTCTTGGAGTCATAAATTGGAGTTCGGGGTACGTGGTTTTGCTTTTTTAGACACTAGTACATTTTGGACAGCTTGCACCGCCCGTCAGCGTCAGGGTAATCGACGTGACCCTTTCCCTCCCAATCTCAACCCCGACCTTTCACCATCACCACCACCACCTACCATACTCCTCATTTTCGACTCTTACGAGACCCGTTCGTTAGTCCACGCGAAGAAGCTTTACTGCCATTCCAAAAAATGAACGCCGTCAAAACGACCAAAACCAGGGAGAGTCATGCAACCAAATCGCCCGCTCTCGGAACTTTGATCAAGATCAAAGGGCACGCAGACATTCTTATCGGGCTGATTATCGGTGCTAAGCCAGCACTTTTGTATGAATCTGCGCCTATGCAATGGTGGCATCAGGTTTCCGGATTGGTGCGGTTCATCTTTTTTCACTTCTTACTCCGAACCACATGTTAACTGATTCTATGTCTCTTCCATGGTTGATGATTATATAGCACCTGTCAGATGCCTCGACAGCGCCAGGTTTTAACCATGCCATTGCGTGTATGGTCATCGCTATTGGGTTGGGAAACGTTGTTGCTGCGAGGTCAGGGTCAGCTGCGTGGCCTGCTGTTTGTGAGTGACATTTCATTTGCGTTTTTTTACGCGTCTTTCTGTTTACCATGTCCAAATCATAGTCACGTCAACGTTGACATGGGGGATACTCTGTCTGCTTACATCCGCTACGGCTTTTATCGAGCTGCCATTCGACCTTGCAAGCTTGGGTGTCGGTCCTGGAGGAACGGGTGCGATTAACAATACGACTGTGCTGATGACGGGGGTTAATCATGTCTTGTTTTGTGGGCTTATGTGGTTTTTGGATAGTGATGGTGTGTTGCGAGGATAGCCGATACTTTCGAAAGCAACCCTATTGGCTGTCAAACCACCCATTTTCTCTGTATTTTATCGATCCAGATATATATATAGCGGTTTTGCTCCTACAGGATGATTCTGGTATCATGGCCATCCTAATTTTGGCGGGGTAAGTTCGCGAGTAGCGGTTCTTCGTTGGCCCGAGGCCGGTCATGCGTGACGTTCGTAGCGGCTTGTTCGCCCACTTCCATGTTCGACGGCTCCCCCTCGCATTATCTCCTTCATTTTCCCCTCAACCCTCTCTGAAGCTCCCTTCGCATTCGTCCTGCGTCCAATCGGACAAGAAGTAGCAAGTCTAGACTTCTAAATCAAAGCAACACGCCCACTCAATTGCCCACACACGCCGGTTTTTTTACATTTTCACAGCCCCTTTGGTTTTTCGCATGCGGAGAATTCTCGTCTCATGGGTGTTTTGGACCTGGACCATTGTTAAGCCGTGAATTTAGAACAGTTGATTATAATACCAACGAAGCAGATTCGGTGACGTTGCGCCGTTTCGGCGTTTGGGTTGTTGCATTAGTTTAGGAATGCGGTGTGAGTAAGGGGGCTGGAGTGCGTGTAGAATGGCGTGGTCCCCGTGAGGCTCGTATCTTACGGAATGGGAAAGAGGGTCGTAGGAAGGTATTAAAGTAACGTTCTGTGGTACGTTGTTGGTTTTTTTCGTTTCCCTGAATCCCTCCTCGTTGCTTGGGGTTTTTTGACATTCCGCTATTATTTGATTCTCCAGGCTCTTGAAATATCTTTTGACACTTGTACCAACACCAGCGCTTTCTTATCTACGAATCTTACGCCCTTTGCCAATTGGTAAGCTCTCTCAGTCATCTTATCTATGTGGATATTGTTGAATGACATTCCTACGCATCCTCAGGCTCTGTATTACTTGTCATGCGACTTCACACTTTCATATCCTTCATCTTCTTTTTGGCGGTGTTCATCACGCTCGCCAGTTCCAAAGCCACATTACACCAGGAGCCCCAGGCCGCTGTCGCTCGCGCCGTTGATTCTGGTCTTGACAATCCATCGACACCACTTCCTCCATCTAATATTGATGATGTGAAGGATGGGAAGGCTCAGAAGAAGGGACGACCGTTGAGGTTCTTTAGGCCGAGGAATCATCCTTAACGATTCGGATCTTACTGTGCTTTGGATGGGGACGGTGAACGACCTGGAGCCTATAGACTCTGTTCTTGCTATGTATTTTCATTATGGCTATTATGTTTTCTAGAAGTACGTTCTCGTTTCTCTCTTCGAAAGGAATTTTCTAATAATGATTTTCTCAATCTATTCAGATATCTAACGCTCTTTATCTTGTATATGTAACTTGAAGCTCTTGTACGGAAATACAGATCCTTTGTTGTTCATATACGACTTCCTCTTCCTCTTCCAGCCGTCAGGCATTTTCAACTGATTGACAGCTGAGGTCGACACAAGAAAGGCTCGTCGCAAGGGATAGTTATGGCTGTTCACTGTGTGCGATAAAGGTTCGAAGAACAGTGTATTGGGCGGAGAGTGTACCCAGTTGAATAGCTATCAGTGGGTGACATGTATAACTAATATTTCTGACTTTATAGGTCGGAGTGAATATCGAGCAGAAGCTGGCCAGACGAACTACGTCTACGAAATAACGTGCAAGTAGTGTGGTTCCGTGCCTGGCATGCCGAGGTGCGACGCACACGCACGGTAACATTGCCACCGGCAATTGGTAACGTCATCGGCTACCTCGGATATCGATGGTACTCGCCGGAAATCTCAGCCTTCCTTTGGATTTTCCCTCTTGGTCGTCTCAGGAATCAATCATCCTGAGTCTTGACGCGGGGTCTACAGCCAACGATAAACGGGGAGCCTGACAATAAAGTCAATCATGTTATGCCCCGGAAATGCCTAGCCAACGCCACTAATTGTTAGACCCCTAGGCCTGGGTTCTCTCCGCCCATAGAATTAAAGTGTGTCCTACACGGTGACACACAGTATGCAAGAAGCTTCTTGAGCGCCATTTCAGTAAAAAACATTCCGTAATACGGCTTCCTTTCTGATGCCATGCTACTACTGCGCCGCATGATTTGGCCCTTTATAAAAGGTACAATAACGCGTTGTTGCTTTGACTTCAAACTCAGGTCCCGACTCCCGCTCAAAGCAAAACAGGAATGAGAAGAGGTCAAAGCATGGCCTACTACAACCTGGAATACTTGATTCATCACATTTTCTTACCTCCACAACTCCCTCAATCGGATGATTCGAGTGCCGAAAATGATCACGACTTGTGCTCGGTGGTCCTCGAGGCAGCCCGAGCGTTTGGAGAGGGATCGGAGCTTTCGGATAAAGAAAAAAAGAGTTGGAAATATGTCGTCAGAATGTTGGAAAGGCTTTGCTCGCTATATGGATCCGAATCCTACACTAAGGATGAGCTCGAGCAACGTATCAGTGAAATGGTCAAAGGAGGTACGTACTGTACATTTCTCCAGAGTCCGATCACTGATTATTTATTTATCTATTTACACTCCCGCTCAGACGTCACTGCATTTTTTATCCGAGCTCAGAATGCCGGGCTAATTATTCGGAAGTTGGGCGACAGGACGGTTTACGAATCGTTCGAAGTCTCGGTGCCCAATGAAGTTGTTATGCGCAACAGGGGGAAAATTATTTGCTCGTACCCTGGACCTGCAATCGCCGTGCGCTCGGATAAAGCGAACAATCCCCACTTCATCTCTGAACTGGCAAATTTTCTAGCCCAGATGAACGTCGACGTATTCGAAGATGCAATGCCCACGACTCGCAAAGCTGGTTCTCGAGTCCTGGAAACTCGAGAAACTACCCATCCCCGTTTCATAACCGAACTTCTCACCGGCATTCTCCGAGGCATGGGATCCCCCGAAGACGTACCACGAATCGCTAAACGCATCGCTGATGACATTTTGTGGAATAACGCCCTTCTTCCCTGGCGCCGTTCACCTCTATGGCTCGTCATTCGCGTTGCACTCCAAACCTCACTCCAAGATGCTGCTGCTGCCAATAGCTCGCACTTGACTTACAAAAGCTTCATGGCGTTCTTGATGTCAATGCTCCTACGGAAATCAGCTGAAGCAGACTTGAAAAGTGATTTACTCTCCGTTATGCACAAGAAAGTCGCACGACGTCTGTACAAGATTCGAGATACTGCTCCCGAGTTTGTGCGGTCCGAAGTTGTTGGGGCCGGAGAAGCATTGCAAGCGCTCCTGCGGCAACGTTGGGAAGTAGTTCAGGAACAGTATGCTCACGGTTCGATTCAACGTTGGGACCCTGCGAGCTTAAAAGTTCGACGCGACACCGTGCTTTCGCTCGAAAACAGCAAGAGA